AAAGAGACAGGGTTGCCTACCTCTGGCCTAGGCCTAGGCCACTTTCTGACTCGTGGACTTCAACTTCCAGAATTCCTCAGCCAGCATGGCTCAGCTTGGAAACTTCTCCCTTTCCCCTCAGCGTAGCTGGCTCAGGAATTCTGGGAGTTGAAGTCCACAAGTCATAAAAGAGCCAAGGTTGCCTACCCCTGTCCCAGCTGATTCACACCGGATTCCAATGGATGCCATCCATGTTTTGAGAATGGTGGATGTGTCAGAGAAGACCAGGCCGAACCCAAGGGCGGCATCAAGCGTGCCCTCAGTTTAGTACCTCTACAACCCCGTAATAGATCTCAGTTCCCTCCCCTTGAAGTCTAGTTAACAATAGCTTTCCATAAGCCCCACCCACCAGGTGTTTACGTTGCCCAATCATACTTCTTTGGTTTGTTATGAGAACGGTCCACTTCTCTTGTCAGATACCTGCGTTTGTGACCTTGACTCTCACGGTCCATGGACAGTGTCTTAGACTCCCATTTCCTTCCCACGCTTCCTACTCCTCCCGCCTGTTTCTATGGCAAGTTGTGTAGCGACAGAAGTTAGCAGGCATCTTAACCATTCAACCTTGATAGCTGACTCTTGTTTGATGCCAATTCACCTTGACCATTAGTAGTTCAAATTCTTGTATATTGTTGTTATTGCTGCTGAGGCACTAAGTTATGTCTGACTCTTTGTGACCCCTTGGACCATAACATGCCAGCCCCTCCTCCCCCCATCTTCCACTGTTTCCTGGAGTGTGCCCAAATTCATGTTCGTTGCGTTGGATGACACTATCTAATTATCTCCTCCGCTGTCGTCCCCTTCCTCTTTTGTCTTCCATCTTTCCCAACATCAGGGTCTTCTCCAAGGAGTTCTCATTAGGAGGCCAAAGTATTTGAGCTATTCTCGTATATGGGTAGAATGAAATAAACTTTATCGTACTTATAGAGTCCTGGTGCTACAGTGGTTAGCTTGCAGAATTGCAGGCTAACTCTGCTCACTGCCAGGAGTTCGATCCGGCTCAGGGTTGACTCAGCCTTCTATCCCTCCGAGGTCGGTAAAATGAGGACCCAGATTGTTGGGGGCCATATGCTGACTCTGTAAACCGCTTAGAGAGGGCTGTAAAGCACTGTGAAGCGGTATATAAGTCTGCTATTGCTATTGCTACTTTTGAAGTCTACCCTGGCTCATCTCTGGACTGTAATAAACTTAAACTTGAACTCCTGATTTCCTGCCCCTGACAGCATGCAGGTAAGCAACAAACAATCAAAGAAGAGCAGGCAAATCCAAGTGGGAAGTAGCTACTTGCCAGGAGTAGCTGAGAGGCAGGCAACAGCTTACCAAAATGTCTCTGACCCTGTCAGGAAGGCCCCTTGTCTCAGTGTCTTCTGAAACAAGCCATTAAGCTTTCAAAAAGTCTTCTCATCTCACTCAAATCAGTACACTCAACCACTTTTAAAAAATTTAACAAGTGGGGTATCCATGGGGTGTGGTGAAAAACGTCAAGATGGCAGCCAGGATGGTGTGAACAATGCTCCGCCCCTTTTTAGAGGCACATTTCTTTTTACAACTCTGTCATCCCTTAATTTGGGGACAACTGGATGGAGCCGAGCATTTACTGGCTGGATGCCCTTCCTGACGCCTACATAGAGTTCACAGCAGGTATTTTTTTTTCTTTGCGCCCTGAGAAAGAAACATCTGCCGCTACCTAGGATTGAACTCTCAACCTTCCAAGTGGGAGGCGAGCGTCTTCACCCCTAGGCCACCAGGCCGCTCATGCACCCCATGTGCAATGGAGATTAAAAAAAAACAACAGTTGGAGGTTCAATCACACTGTGGTGGGTTGCCAATTTGACTTTTTTTCACCATACCTTGCTGACACTCTACGGGAGGGTGCTGAATTTCTAAGGCTGGATTCAAATGGTTGCATTTCCCTTGATTCCATAAAAAACGAGAACGTGAAATTTGATGTTGGCCAAAGGCTGAAACAAGGGATCCTTTCACAGAGCTGGGTCTCACAGCCATAGGTCGTTATTGATTTGGGAACACGGCGATATTGCTCATTTCAGCCCGTGAAATTATTAGCTCACAAACTGGTCAACAACGGAGAAGTAACTCAACACAGACTCGCATTCCCAAGCAGTGAAGGAGACTTCTCAAGGGCCACCTCTGAGGTTGAGAAGTCTACCGAGGTTTATTTCACACACACCACGAACAAAAGCGGGGGGGGGGGCACGGAAGCACACATCCATGTTCTCAAAAAGGAAAGTTAGATTAGGTAGTCAGCCTAGACCAGTGATGGTGAACCTTTTAGAGACCGAGTGCCCAAACTGCAACCCAAAACCCACTTATGCATCGCCGGGTGCCAGGTGGGTGTGGCCCACTGGATGGGCGTAGCTGTGGTGGTCCTGGCAGATTGGGTGCGTGTGGCCAAGGTGGCTGTGATCACCTCGATGTTGCTCGTGGGGAGGGACGCCTGTGGGGGCTGGGCAGGATTGGGGGAGATCCAGAGGATCTCTGGCAGGTGGGGCGGTGCAGGAGGCTCATCCTGCGGGGAGAGGCGAGGCAAGGCGAGGCAGCGCAGGGGTTGCCATTATCACAGGGCAAGGTGAGGCAGGGGCCGGGGTGGCTGCTGCCTGACACCATCGGCCCCTGCATACAGAGGCCAGCGAGCACATGGGTGCTGGGATGCATCCAGCCATGTGGGACCTCAGCGAGTTAGCGGGCAGCTGGTTGAAGAGGGACGGTTGCCATCTCCGGGGCATGGCACGCGTGCCCACAGAGAGGGCTCTGAGTGCCGCCTCTGACACGCGTGCCATAGGTTCGCCACCACTGGCCTAGACACTGGTGTGAAGAACGTATTTATGTCTAACCAAGGTGAAAAAAGCAAGGGTTATTTTTTTTTCAATGAAGCTAAGAAAAGGCAGACTTTTGAAATGGGCTGCTTCGTGAATCAAAACAAGCTGACAAGCGAATTGTATGCTGCCCCTCCTGATCTTAGCTTCTGAATCCAAAGAAAAAGGAGGCAAAATACCTCAAGAGCCTCCAAACAAAATCTATGGTGATTAGAATGGACAGATTTCATACAGGCTAAGCCAGGGGTAGGCAACCTCGGCTCTTTTATGACTCGTGGACTTCAACTCCCAGAATTCCTGAGCCAGCCACGCTGAGGGAAAAGGGAGAGGTTTCCAAGCTGAGCCATGCCGGCTCTGGAATTCTGGGAGTTGAAGTCCACGAGTCAGAAAGCGGCCTAGGCCTAGACCAGAGGTAGGCAACCTTGGCTCTTTTATGACTCGTGGACTTCAACTCCCAGAATTCCTGAGGCAGCCACGCTGAGGGGAAAGGGAGAGGTTTCCAAGCTGAGCCAGGCTGGCTCAGGAATTCTGGGAGTTGAAGTCCACGAGTCATAAAAGAGCCAAGGTTGTCTACTCCTGGGCTAAGCCATTAAAGACTGACAGAGCCCTGATGGCGTTACCTAGTTTGGTAATGAAAGGTCTGCAAGAAAGCCGCCAAGCTCAGAGGACACCAAGGACACCACAATTCAACTTTGAGCTATAAATATTCTCTTCTAAAGTTTATTCTCCGGACTTGAAGACAATCACCACTTAGTTCCATTTCTGTTTCAACACAGAAAGTGAGAATAAAGAACATAGCCACTATATCTGAGAATTAAAAACCAAATTCTCAGAAACCTTTAGCTGCCTTTATATCTGTTTGTCAAAAGACAGGCAGTGAAAGGAAATATACAATAAAATCGTATGGAATGTGATGAATTTGCTGATCCTCCAGAAGAAAAACAGAGCTCCAGAACTCAGGTATCTCTCCTTCCCTGGAGGGGTCAGTTCAGAAATATGGAGACTTCCAACCAAATAACCATTCCCAGAAATTAGAAAACTCTTTAACAAAATTCTCTTTAACCGAGTTAAAGGGAAGAAACGTATATCCCTGCTTAGCTAAATCTGCAGAAAAGGCTAATTATTAATGTATTGCTAGCAATGTATTCCTAGCAATGTATGTATTCCTAGCAATCTTTTTTTTTTTTAAAGATTAGGCATTTTCTTCAGAATAAAATGACTGTTTTGAGCTCAAGTAATTTACATCTAGGTTCCACTGCACCAAATACCATGATTTAAAGTCAAAATCTGGGCTCAGGTCCCAAAGTTTTAAATCTTCGCCACAGAAGATTAAGTTTATTGTACACATTCGTGCACCTTTGGAAAACTATATAAATACTAAGAGTTAACGTAATGGTGCAATCCTGTAAAGGTTTATTCAGGGGTTTAACAAGACCTTTTCAGAACTAAATTGCATAGGACTGCAGCTTTATTATTCTCAATCATCGCACAGTCAGCCAGATGTTCAGACTGGATTTGGCATTTTGTCTACCTATCGAGTCCTTACCCAGGACCCGGGATAGGCAGATGTGGATGTTTGATGGTATTACAGGTATCGTCGCAGGATGGAAGCAGTTCCTAGTAAGTCTGCCTTTTGCAATTGACTAATAGCGAATTTGTCAATGCCAATGGTGTTCAAGTGGTGCTCCAGTTGTTTTGGGATTGCACCCAAGGCACCTATGACTATTGGTGCTACTCTTGCTTGCTTTTGCCACAGTCATTCTATTTCTATTTGTAGGTGTTTGTATTTTGTTATCTTCTCCAGTTCTTTCTCGTCTATTCTGCTATCTCCAGGCACTGCCACGTCCACTATCCAGACTTTTTTGTCTTTCTTATCGACAATTGTTAAGTCTGGGGTGTTATGTTGCAGGTGCTTGTCTGTTTGAATTCTGAAGTCCCAGATAATTATTATTAATAATATTATTTATTATTATTATTTTGAGAAGGAAGGGATCCTTAAAAGATTCAAGTGTTTGCTTGGAGCTCATCAGATACTAAGCGGATTCTGTTAGTGAGGCAAAGATGCAGAGACAGTTAATCTACGAAAGCTGTTTGCTTAATGCAGATTTTCGGCCATCATCATATACTTACCAACTTAATAAACTGTTCAAAAGAATAACAGGATGAAAAGTGAACTGGGACCATAAACACAACCAGAAAACAATAAACTAACATTGACAAAAGTCACAGGAAAGTTTACAAAAGAATGCGCAAATGAAACAAGCATGCAACATTAACTAAACCCAGGAATATTTTTTTGCAGTGTCTGGATTTCTTAAAGAGAGAGAGAAAAATGTAATTTTCTACACCAATGCAGGAGCTTTTATAGAGGTACCCAGAGCAGGCAAACTGTGGTGTGGTTTATATTCAGGTGGACCTAAAACCTATACAGATGTTCAAATCCTATAATTTCCCTCCCTATTCCTAATTCCTTGGGCCAATCTTTCATTTCAGCAGGAGAAAAGCGGATTTAAAACTACTAAAAATACTGCAAACCTGTAAGAATCAGCATAATAAATCTTATCGCTTTGTAAGAAAATTGTAGAAATCTTTCAAGCAGGGTCTTTTAAAAGTGCATGACACTCAAATAATTTTCTGTGGGTCACGTTGAGAATTTTATAGGACTTCTTCAAAAAGTTAATAAAGGAAATTGCGCAAAGCTTATTCATCCACAAACATTTTCATAAAACGCATTCTTTGAAAAGAAAGTTCTAAATATGTGACTGAAACTTGGAAAAGTTTATTGTGGTCATTAACCAGAGCAGGAAAATCAGTATGCAAATATCTAAAACTGAATTGACAATATCAAACATATTATTGGTTGTATGTAAGCTTATTGTGGAACAGTTAAGCAGTGCTAATAATACACTAAACATCATTGTAAACATTAGAAGTTTTTGCACAAAAACTCTGCTTTTCTTATCCAGTGTAAAAGAAATTTAAGGAATGTATTGCTATAAAAGTATGGAAGTCTAAAATTTACCTTGATTTCTCTTTGTTCAACAGATTTTTCCCATATTTGCTGATCGTATGCCCCAATCTATAAAGAAAAAAAAAGGATTTAATTAAAATATGGCCTAACAAAATATTAAGTCATTGCAGAATGCAAATTTGGCACAACGTCCAAAATAGCGCATCTCTACATATACATACATACTAGATGTAGAAAAAAGCTGCAAATCACAGAGATGAACCAGCTGAAATACATTTGACTAATTTAAATCTGCCCTTTAGAAAATTAAAAACCAGTTTAGCAATTGCAAACTGAAGCTTTGCCCGTATTATAGTTGTTTAAACAGAACAGCTGATAATAAATCACATTTATCTGTTTTAACAGCATGACAGTGCTTTGGTTTATGACTTCTAGCTAAGTGTGTTGCAAATCATAATTATAAAATGCCTTTTCTGCGTTATCCGCACTGCTCCAATAGGTGGCAGTACCCAGCTGATGTTAGCGGGATTCGGAGTTAACGGTATTTGAGAGGGAGATTCTCAGGCTGGACTCAGAGGTCAGAAAACGGGCCAAAGAAAGCAACAGCATTGCTAAATAGATGTTGCAAAAATGCACCGTCCCACAATTATAGAAGAACTATTAAAACATTTGACTTAGAAGACTGCTAAATTCAAGACACTGCATTGTAGTGGCGATGAGTGCATTGTTAGAAGTCTTGAAAGATCCAGTTAGGGACATAGATTGTCATGGAGAAAAATCTATATATGTGGTTGCTAGTCATCAAAAACAACTTGATGGCACATAGTCAATCAACCCATCAAACAAATTCAAGGAACTGCATTATAGTAAATAGATAGGGCAGTACACCTGAATATGGTCCTTTTAGTTAATTCCTGGATAAATGAAATAAACATCTAAGAATTGCTCCTACTAAGATAGTCCTCAGAAAAAAAAAACAATTTGCTATCTATCTATCCATCCATCCATCCATCATATTTTCTATATCTATTATATCTATCTCTCCATCTCTCCATCTATCTATCCATCATCTACCTATCTACCTATCTATCTATATATATCTACTATATCTATCTACTATCTCTATCTCCATCTATCTACTATATTTAACTACTATATCTATCTATATCTATTTCTCCATCCTATCTATATCTATCTGTCTGTCTGTCTGTCTATCTATCCATCCATTACTATTTTTATCTATCTATCTGTCTGTCTGTCTATCATCTCTATCTCTCTATCTACTATATCTCTATCTATACATACATACATTCTGCTTCCTTGTAAAATAGATAACTGATTAATATGCCAAAATCCATAATTTACAGTCATTAATAAAAAAAATTCATGCTCTATGTTCAAACAGGAATAGAAAAAATATATATACAAATAAAAGAATCTACACATTTCTATAAACTGTATAGTTCCAGGATCCCACATCCTTCTCAAGACCTGCCACCAGATTGTTCTAGATCAGGGGTAGGCAACCTTGACTCTTTTATGACTCGTGGACTTCAACTCCCAGAATTCCTGAGTCAGCCACGCTGATGGGAAAGAGAGAGGTTTCCAAGCTGAGCATGCTGTCTGAGGAATTCTGGGAGTTGAAGTCCACGAGTCATAAAGCGGCCTAGGCCTAGCCTAGAGGTAGGCAACCTTGGCTCTTTTATGACTCGTGGACTTCAACTCCCAGAATTCCTGAGCCAGCCACGCTGAGGGGAAAGGGAAAGGTTTCCAAACTGAGCCATGCTGGCTCAGGAATTCTGGGAGTTGAAGTCCACGGGTCATAAAAGTGCCAAGGTTGCCCACCCCTGTTCTAGGTAGTAATTCAAGATTGTGCTAGATAATAATTTATTCTATCAGTACACAGCCTGGTGTTACAGACGGTGAAATAAAACAATTTCAGGAGTGCTAGATAAAACATGAAAGGCAGTTTTGACTCTCTCCTGTGCTGATTTCATTACCGTAAAAATTAAAGGATCACCACGATTTCAGAGGCGCTTCAAGCATTTTATGTGCCATGTTGAACAAACACACCACCAGTTCCCACTCTACAATTGTTATCTTTAGAGAAAGAAGGAAGAATAGAAATTTGCGGTTTACCACAGAGTTTGCAAATGAACACTACATTTCAGTTTAGTACTATTGAATTTAGTAAATTTCATAAATGTTCATTAAAAGACTAACGACTCTACATGTAGTACGATTTACAAGGCATATTCTACACGTTAACCTTTCTTTTTCAAAACGTGCTGTATGTCATATATTTTTTTTCTATTAAAGCATTTATCTTCCTTTTCGATTAAATTCTCTTTTCAAGTTTTTTCATCTTTTCACTCTAATATGGAATAGATGTCGGGTGTCATAAGAGATGGACCTAAAATTCTGCCTCTGGTAAACTACAAGGAGATGGATCAGTCTTCTCGTATGAATGCTGAGATCTGCACGGGCAGTTAAATAATGATCTGCAACAGGGTTCACACCGAAAGATAACAAAATCTACTGAAAAACTCCTTTTTTACGACCCCATCATCCTTTAATTTGGGGTAGAATTGGGGCAACTGGATGGAACTGAGCATTTACTAGCCGGATGCCCTTCCTGAAGAACTGTCGTAAGTTGAGGACTGCCTGTATAATGAAAACACAGGGACAGAAGCTGACTAAAAACAACCATGCGTACACCTCAACCGACATCAGACTTTGACATCTGAAGGAAGAGAAACCGTGTAATTATCCAGACATCGTACAACTGCCTTTTACGATAACCAAAAATAAGCCATGTCAGTCACCATGGCTTGACTCCTGTGTAATTCTATTCCTTCAATAGAATATTTAATATTTGTAATTGGCTGTGGCTGAGTCAGACTATGAGAAAGTGTGCAGGAATGTTATTAGTTCAAACCAACATGTTGATGACTGGTGTAACTGGAATTCCATTATAAGTGGGCTTCTAAATTACCTCAGTTCCATTTCAGATGCGTTATTTGACCAGACACAACTGGAAGTTACCTGAGGGATCACCTTTATCTTGTCTCAGCCCCATCTACCGAGCTACAGAAACAGGATGCAGATCTGGAAGACCCAACCACCATTTCTGCAGCTCCGTGGAGGCGTTCACTTCCACACAGAGAGAAAAGCTCAGCCGGGCTACAGAAAGACAGCGTTGGAAGGGACCTTGGAGGTCTTCTAGTCCAACCCCCTGCTCAAGCAGGAGGCCCTCTACCATTTCAGACAAATGGCTGTCCAATCTTTTCTTAAAAGCTTCCAGTGATGGAGTAGTATGGAGTAGATGTAGCATTTGTGGTGGGTCATAAAACCATGCTACCTTAACCTTGAGGAGGCAACTTACATCTAGTTTTTGCTATGAGCCCAGATGGGAGCAAACACCACAAGTTGACTTGCCCTCTCTTTCCGTCAATGGAAACAATCTCTTCTTAAAAACCTTCAGTGATGAAGCACGCACAACCTCTGGAGGCAAGTCCTTCCATTGATTAATTGTTCTCACCGTCAAGGAAGTTCTCCTTAATTCTAGGTTGGTTCTCATCCATTGCTTCTTGTTCTGCTTTCTGGTGCTTAGGAGAATAGGCTGACCCCTTCTTCTTTGTGGCAGCCCCTGAGATATTGGAAGACTGCTATCATGTCTCCCCTGGTTCTTTTTTCACTAGACTAGACAAACCCAATTTCAGCAACCGTTCTTCAGGTGGTTTGGCCTCCAGCCCCCCAATCATCTTTGTTGCTCTTCTCTGCACTCTTTCTAGAGTCTCAACGTCTTCTCTTATATCGTGGGGACTAAAACGGGATGCAGTATTCCAAGTGTGGTCTTACCAAGGCATTGTAAAATGGTACTAACACTTCACATGATGTAAAAAAAAGCAAAGTTTAAGTGGATCTGGGCAGGGTAGGGCAGAGAATGAGTCAGTGCCTCCCAGGCCAAGTGGCATGGAGATGGGGGCTCCATTTAACAACCTGTTTATTGCTGCAACTAGGACAGCCTGGATTATAGTCATTGAGCAAAGCAATCCCATAGGCATCTTCATGACTGCTTGTTCAAAGACTGAATTTCCGGTCTGAATTGTGGTTATAAGCCAGGGGTCTTCAAAGTTGCCAACTTTTAAGACTTGTGGACTTCAACTCCCAGAATTCCACAGCCAGCCACGGCTGGCTGAGGAATTCTGGGAATTGAAGTCCACAAGTCTTAAAGTTGCCAAGTTTGGAGACCCCTGTTATAAGCCGAGGTCTATATGTATAACAGAAGAAATGGAAAAATACTATTTCTTATCCGTTCCTTACTATCATCGCTATGTTCCTCCTTTGATCTATTTCCCACGCTGCTGTAGAAGTTATAGAAAAACATTTACCCTTTCCAGAAAGTCACGGTTGAGAAACAAATAAAATTATCCACTCAAAACAAACTGATACAGTTTTAGACTCCATACTGCACAGCAAACAAACTTTTGAGCAGAGAAATGACCCCAATTATTTTTACGTTCTGGATTTAGTGAAGATTCTTGCCCTACGACTTGAAAAAAATCTGAAAGAGGAAGACAAGTTAGAAATATGTCAACACTGCAATTTCCCAGCCTAGAGGGAGCCCTTGACTTACAACAATTTTGTTTCGAAGTAAAAAAACGACACTAAAAAAGTGACATGTCCGTTTTTCACACTTATGACTGTTGCAACAACCCCATGGTCCCATGATCAAAATTCAGACGTTTGGCAACTGACTCATATTTACGACGGTTGCAGTATCCCGGGGTTCCCTTAATCCTTAAGCCAGATTCCCTTAACGACCGTGTTCCTCACTTTACAACTGCAGTGATTCACTTAACAACCGGGGCAAAAAAAATCGTAAAACGGGGCAATGATGTTACTTAGTCACTTAACAATTGTCTCGGCAACATAAATTAGCAATGGAAATTTGGGACTGAATTGTGCTCATAAGTCAAGGACCTCCTGCGTTTGGGATCAAAGCCGGTGTGAGTTTCAACCGGCTTCCATTGGACAAGGCAGTTTCACCAATTTCTTTCCATTTCCGCATCCAATGCTCTTCTATTCCACTGTCATTTCCTGTG